CTCCTGATATTCTGTGATTCTGTGATCTGGTGCTTATTTTAAGGGAAGTAGAAAAGTTTCTTTTTTTGTAATGTACAGCTATGACTGGTCTTTAAGCGTGTGTCTAAGGTAACTTTAGGCAAGACAAAAGGTCAATGAGAGCAAACAATTCACAGCCAATTTAACATTAAACGTGAATATTACCCTGATCTAGTGGTATATGCTGAATACTTACAGCATAGATATCCTGAGGTGCTGATGTGTTTGTTCCATTGGAGCGATGACATTTAAAAGTGAAATTATCTTTTGCACTGGGGGAGGAAACAAAGAAAAAAATCTTTTTACTTCCCTCATTGTAAACTGAGCAATAAAGGGAAGATGTTCTATTAAATTATACTTACGGATTTGGGGGGTTGATATAATGAATAGCAACTCTTCCTTCAATACTTCCAAGGGCAAATCCAGTAGGTTTGTTCACTTTGTCTTTAAAAATAGCAACACAGCGATGCTAAATTTGGGAAAGGTAACAGAGTGTTTTAGAGGCCTGAGGGTCAGATTTTCTGAACACTGTTTTCCATAGGGACACAAACCACCACATACATCAATGCAAAGTAAAGCAAAGACACAAAGTCAAGAGACAGGTCAGATTCTACTGAGAATTTGGACCACAGTATTTACATTTCTAAATCCTTAAGATCAGCAATAGATCAATGGCAAACCAGGACATGTGCCATACTAAGATAACGTACTTTGGTTTTGAAATACTGTTTGTTTTTACCAAAAAACAGCAACCCTAGAATTTCAATAATCTGTATAAATACACCTGTAATAAATACAATCATTTACCTGGTGTTTAAGAGGAGATTCTATTCTTCTAAATTCAGAAGGTTGATTCTCTAACTGATAAACTATCAAACCCCTTTCCGCAGTGGCCACAGCAGCCATAGGATGAACCTGGATAAGGTTGTAAAATAGGTTAGAAGAGAGACACTTTTGTCAGTAGTGTTTCAGAGAATCCTATTTATTATTTCACAGAAATCCCTAAAGAAGTTAAAGAAATTTTCTGCAGGGAAGAGAGGGACGGAAAAGGCAAGAAGAGAAAGAACAAAGTTCATTTGCAGACATACCTTCAAACAAACTAACAAAAAGAATCCTGACACGGAGAAATAAATACACCAAAAATCTTATTAGCTGACTCTTCCAAGGTGGATCGCAATAGCAGTAATGCAAACTCATCCAGAAACGAGGACAGGTTAGACCTAGTGCTGATCTGTTTTTCTGATGTTAAAGGATACCAAGCATGTTTTGTATGATGCAAATACTATTTTACAGACTCTGATCAAGAAGATCAAGTTATGCTTTACTGCTAAAATCACGTGATAGAACGCTATTCTATGATTCTATACTAACAGTCAGTATTGAGTGCTGACCTACAGAAGCCTCAAAGATGCCAGTTTATTCGTACTCTCGGTCATCTAGCTAACCGCGTCTCATGGCTTACCACATCTGCACAGTAACATCTTTCAGGGAGTTGCAATGTCATCATAGGTGTTGGTGAACGGGTATCCCAGAACTGATGGAAAGAGAGAAATGAACAAACTTACACTCGGAGTTGACGATACACCATTTAAGTTACTTTAGTAACAAGAATGTAATTGGTACCAGGTTGTTTCATTCTTGTCTCCAGTCAGAATACTGCCACTCTTTGTGAAGTGAGGCTATTTCATTAATCGGCCTTCTGTATTAGTGTTTAGTAAAGTAGTTTAATTTCACATATGTATTTCCATACACAGGTTATTAGCACGCTTTGTATCTGTTTGTTCAAGTAAAAAATCATACCTTCAAAGTTTTATCCCAGCTTCCTGTCATCACACAGCTATAATTTGGTGCTTTGATCCAATGGATAGTTTTCACAGGAGCATCATGCTGAAGTAAAAGAGGACAAACACACATGTTTACTAAGATAACAGTCCACATTTCTTGTTTATGCTCATGTTTTTTGTATGTATTCACACTTTTTATCCATTGAAGAAAATTGATTTTAGTCACAGCAGTTAGGATAAAAGTTGGTCATGACGTTACTGTGCTGTTTAGTGCTGTAAGCTCACTCACATAAGAAAAAAAATGGTTCCTCATACAAAGAACTACAATCAAGTCACCCTATATAGGACGATAGTCACAGAAAAAATACCAGTTATGAACATCTGGACTTTCTATTTATCTATAAAGGATATTATCCATCATGCTGAAAATCATCACTTTAATATAGCTATTTATTACACAGCAATATAAAACCCAACTTCTTCCTTCTAACAAGAGCTACAGGAGAAAGGCCTATGTTAATTATACCACAAAGACTTTAAAATCAAGGCTAAGAATCTGAGTTTTATCACCTCAAATCAGACACAAGCAGCAATCACTAAAAGGACTAACTCTCTTCTAAAATCGTTTAACTGGTAACTCGGCCACCATAACTACATATTCTATGAACGGATATTTACTTCTAAATTGAGAATGTAAATTACAATCCCTGTTACTGCTGCAGCAGAAAGCTGATCTTTGTGACAGTGAATTCAAACATAATTCTTAATTTTTTTCCCCTACAAAGCAGCAGAGTGACTTAAAAGAGATCACAGCAGCACTGGAAAGAGCTCTCTTGAGTAAAATAGAGGAAACAGCTGCACGGGGTAATCAAATCACTTTGATTGCAGGTCTCCCTCTTCATGTGCAATTCATTATCTCAAAAATAGAAAAAGCACCCTACAACCTCTTCTTCATATAGCAATATCTACTTCAGAAGCACTAAACATTAGCTTAATTTGCTAATAAGGCAGCTTTTAATAAAAGCAGAAAAGGGAAAAAAATCCCACCTAATAGGTTGGGGCTTGCTTACTTACTTGTGCAATCTGAATAGCTTGATTACTGTTGAGATCCCACATTTTGGCAGTTTTATCACAGGAAGCAGTAAATACTTTACTCCCATCCTAAAAAACAAGGGTAAGGTGAATAGATTAAACAGCTCTATCACGCAGTATCTATTAGAAAACTGTCCAGATAACTGATTCTCTTCCAGTACTAGCATAACATTAATGTAACATATTACAAGGAAATGTAAATTGGAAATTTATTTATGACTGTATGTCATAAAAGAGACAACTGTGGTAGTTATTATCTGGCTTTAAATACATTCCTACTTTTAAACTCACTTTTACCCTTCTTACACCCATGTTAGTCTATTCTATTAGGACATGTTTAGCACATATTTAAAGTAATAAGTCTATACAATAATTATGCACTGTATCTACATGTGGCACTCATGTTTGTTGGGAAAACACATGCCCATTTATTTGAAGTTTTGGTAAAAACTGTTTGTTTATTTGTAATGGGAACATACATCACTCCAGCAGCTATCAAGTACAGGCCCTGTGTGCATCTGCTGAGCCTTCGGAATCGTCTGTCCATTATCTTGAACCTCCCAGCAGCGAACCTGTAAGAGGAGAAGCATATAGAGACATAACATAGTAACACCAAGAACTTAAAATATGTCTCTTCTTGAAGACCCCAGCCTTACTTTATCCAACAAAAAGTATGACTGTAAACATCAAGCTTATTTCAGAACTAGTGAAAACCTTATTTTCTCTGATTATGTTCCTTTTATCTGTACAGCCACAACTCAACCCCACCTCAAAAGTACGTTATGATCACCTAACACCTCGCAGTGCTCTCTTGGAGCACCCCTAACCATCAGCTAAGGAGCAGATCAGGTAAAAAAAAAAGATGACATTTGTCTTGCCCTCCATGTTTGTGTCAGTTGGGATCCCACCCTTCAATCCAAACAAACTTCAAGAAGGTTGTAGGAACCTATTTTTTTGATACTACACTGTCAAACTGGATGATTTACCACTGCGTTCATGGTTCTTTCACTAGGCAAAGCATAATATGTTAGCCTAATTGTGTAAGAAAATAAAGCTACAAAGCAAACAAGTGGGAAAAAGAAAAATCAAAGTAATAAAAATCTAACAGAGAAAACATTGACCATATATTCCAAGCTGAAGCGTAAAACACATAGTAGAGGAATGATTTATCTGAAGATCACAACTGAATTTCTCAGCTCAAACAGCTCAGCTATATCACTTAGCGATAGATTTTGCAGTTCTGCAGAGAGGAAGATTTTTGGGTGCCTTGGCACAAGTTTTTAGGATCACATTTTGCAGTTCAGACACCAGTGCTCCTACTTTATTCATCTGTAGGTCTGATTGCAAGTACTTACATCATTTGCCCATGATCCTGCAATCAGGAAATTACCCGGCAATGTTGGCGGACTAAATGCCAGACAAGATATGCTGTCATCAGGTGGAGACGTTACTTCAATATCCTATAAAGGCCAGAAGACAAAATCAAATCAGTCACACCTGAAAACTGTGCAGAGATCCTACTACTTCTATAGGCGAGTTAGTAGGTGCTGCTGTGACACATTAAAACACAGCAGAACAGCGTTTCCCACAGGCACTAACACACGTACCTTCATGGGATTATGGTTATCTGCAGTCGTGCTGCCAAACATGCTGGTACCTCCAGTAGCAAACCCTGATGTTGATCCAAACAAACTCATCCTTGTCCTGCAAACAAGGAAAAGGCTTAACGAGACCTGCAAGGCCCACAAGCATCCCTAGGCTGTCTCACCACAGCCACTGTGCCAGCACTCACTTCGCCCCAACTGAGAGGTGCCCAGTGATAGAAAAAGATTATTTATTTTTTTTTAAATCATGCTTCTCGTTGCAGTTGGATCCCTGACATTTCCCTATTGGCCACCTTGCCACCACAGCCAGGGATCCCTCTCCAGCCATCACCCGGCAAGAGCTACCTATTCCCCCCCACGCCCCTCAACCCTCCCTGACACCGCCGGCCTGCAGGAGCGACGTCGCCTCGGGGAGCCCCGCAACCAGCACAGCCCGCCCCGGCGGTGCTCCCCTCCAGCACACGGCCCAACCCCCTGTCTGTGCCTACAGGCCGCCCGGCGGGGCAGTAGG